AAAAAAAAAAAAAAAAAAAAAAAAGACAGAAATGAAGAAGCCAGATTGAAATAAAAGGTAATGGTAGTTACATATGTACATTTAGAAAGCTTTTTCTCTTAAGGAATATGAAAATTGTCCTGTGAAAAGTATTTCACTGTCACAGCTTGCATCTGGATTCCTAAAATTCCAATTTCTTAAACTAGTCCCAATTCTTAAATGAAGTAATTTAAAAAATTAAAAGCAACATCCTATACAAAACATACTTATTGGTCTAGGTTAACAACTGTGTTCAACCAATGTAAATAAAGCACTAAGAACTCTGTTCACTTAGCTGATTCAATGTCAAAACATGCCAGAATTAGACATCCTAGCATATGGAATCCATGACTGATAAAATTCAGATGGCAATATATCTCATGTCATTAGAGAGGTTAAAACAAAACAACATACTGGGGCTGGGGATTTAGCTCAGTGGTTTCGCCGCCTGCCTTGCAAGCACAAGGACTTGAGTTCAATCCCTGGTACCAAAAAATAGAAAACACACTAGGAACTTCACAAATTAAGTCCAAAGATAGTTATTTCAGGAGCGTGAGTACAAAAACAGTAAAACTTGATGTAAACAACTTATTCTAAAATATATCAAAAATTTAAATCAAAGGATGGAAGAGGGACAGAAATAGGTTAAGCCATGGACGGTAAAATGTTAATAGAACTGAAGAGTAGTTATATAGCTTATTCACTGTAAAATATTTTTTTCAAATATTTTGAAAATTTTCATAATTAAGCCTTTAAGAGAATTTTAATAGTACATGTCTATGGTACATAATGTTTACATTCACCACAAGGAGCTGGTACATGTATGTAACATATTTTAATTCTTTCTACTTCTCCCTTGTCTCCATTTAGATCCTCTTCCCATTTACATAACACCTATCTATATTTTTCCTCATATCTATCTTTTATTTTGTATTTTACTTATACTTTGGTTTCTTAAATAACAAAAAGCATGTGATATTTTAGCTAGTGTGTCTGATTTATTCCACTTAACACTGTGGTCTATTTTCCTTCAAATGACTCAAATCTATCCTTCTATATGGTAGAGTTGTATTTCATTGTGTACCACATTTTCTTTATCCATTGATCTGTGGATAGAAAGACATATGGGCTGAGGATTTAGCTCAGTGCTGCTGGTGCCTGCCTCGCAAGCATAAGGTCGGGAGTTCGATCTCCAGTACGGCAGAGTGGGGTGGGGGAGTAAGACAGAAAGACATATAGGCCACTTCCAACATTTAGCTATTATGAGTTGTGCTGCAATAAACATGGGTATGCATGTATCACTGTACAATCTTAATGGGGAAAAAACTGGTACAACTTATCTCCTCTCTGTACATATTTGAATTTAAGAATTTTTTTATGAAAGGCAAATTTACAATGTGCAAATATATTTTAAGAATCCATAAATACATCTGAAAAAGTTTTTAAAAGCTAAATAAAAACAGGTTCTGAAATTTTAGGTAGCCAGGAACAGTGGCACATACCTGTAATTTTAGCTATTTGGGAGGCTTAAGCAGGAGGACTCAAGTTAAGAGGACAGCTTGGAGCCTAAGCAACTCAGTGAGACCATGTTCCAAAGTCACAGGGAGATTATACTGAATAAAAATACATGTTCCTTATGCTGGATGTGGTCTCTGTAGTGCTAGCATTCAGGAGACTGAGGCAAGAAAATAATATGAGATCAGCCCCAACAACATAGTGAGTCTCCATCTCAAAACAAGAATTAATTCTATCTTGCACAAAGTTAACTGGTTCATTCTTAAAACAATAAGGTTGCAAAGTACAGAGAGGGAAGGAAAGTTGCTGAAAATATTCTGGTTCCTTGCTTTTCATATGAAAGAGTTTAAAAGATAAAGGGGCGTGTTTTTCTGAAAGGATAGGAGAATACTACCTGATGTGTCCGATTGATTTGAGACTGTGATGTTCCACAAAAATAAAATAAAGTAATCCAAGGTTCCTTTCCACAGCTGTCAACCAGTATGTCAATTGTATTGAACCATTTGTAATCTGGCAGGAGTCCCATGTCCTTGTCACCACTGTAGATTCCTGGGCTGAAATGAACTGTTTTTGACCAAATATATCATATTTTTCAGTGGCCTAAAGTTAAAAGAAAAGAAGACATTTTAACAAAATAGGCAGGGGAAATCGAACAATCCACAGTAATTTAGAAATAAAAAAATACTGTTAGTAGTTTTGTTATTTTCTTTTCCAAAAGTAGAATCAGTACACTTACAACTAATTCTGACACATGTTGAGTAGGTCACTGACAGTGGATCAGTGAAGGCAGAACAGAGAAAAGAGAATTAAAAAAATGAGAACCTGCAATGTTGTCAGTATTTAAGGAATTTGGCAGCTCTAGTTTAGAGACAAGGAAAAAACACAACCACAAAACAAGAAAGATCTGCCTAAGGACAAAACCAGGAACACTGTAACTCTGAGAACTATAATTTTTTATAGCCCCCCCCATAATTCTATGGACCTAAGACTGAAATTGTGAATAATCACACCCTACAGTTTAAAAAATACAAAAGAATAAAAGCTTATAATGTCATTTAGCATTTTCAAAGAAACCTGCACTATCTGTTAAAAAAAAAAAAATGCCTATATAGGATAAAATCCTCTCTCTGTTTTTGGTGCCAGGGAATGAATGGTCTCTAACATGTGTGACATGCTAGCCTTGGGGAAAACTATTTTTAATGACATCTGAAAAAAGTCAATGCCAAAATTCTATTGATGTCGTATTTTAAAAGTTGGTTTCAATTTATATTTATTTAGTACAAGTGAAAAGCTCACATCAAGAAAACACTCCTAAAAGACCGTATGGTTCTTCCATCTTCCTTTAACAATTCTGCAGTCAGTAAACAGAATAGTACAACTTAAGGTGAAAGAACTGAGAGTAATTAAAATATAAATAGCAAGAGATCTAATACTATCAGAGCCATAAATATATCACAGAATGAGTCACATCTTACACCAACCTTCAAAAATTATTTTGACATTTAATAATTTAGAACCCTGGCAAACTGTCACATTAGTTTTCACATCTTGATTTCCTTAATTTTATTAGGGGATAAAAACACAGAAAAAAGTATCATTGACAAATGTCTACATTTTAAAAAACTGACATTGTTGCATCTCCATCTGACCATGCTCCCTAAGCCAGTAAATCAAGTGACTGTTTTCTTAAAGTTTCAGGAAAGTCAAACCAAAGCAAAACAAACCCTACAATATACATTTTGTTTTAATCTTTTTTCTCCTAACATGTCAGACACAAGATGGCAGCACACACTAAATAGAAAAAAAAATGTCTTTTTTTTGTAAAGTGACTATAATTTAAGTATGAATCCTTTCATTTGAAAATTTTCTTTTGTTTTGTTTTTGAGACAGGGACTCCCTGTGTAGTTCAGGCTGACCTTGAACTATGTAGCCCAAGCTGGCTTCCAAATCCTAGAGAGCCTCCGAGAGGTGGCCTTAGCCTCCAGAGTGCTGAGATTACAAGTGTGTGCCACATGCCTAGCTAAAATTAAAAATTCTTTAAAAGAAAGGTTGCAATTCATTTAAGAAACAAATACTGGATAAGCAAATAGCTTCAGGGGAAATGACAAAGGAGCATAACTTTAAAAAAAATCCATTTTATTGGTATATTTTAGGTATACAATGTAATGACATTCATTTCTACCTTTACATAATATATCTTGGTTATTTTTTCCCCACTCCCCTGCCCTCCCTTTAAGCCCTCCACCCTTCTCTATTTACAAAGACTTTGTTTTCATTTTTTCCTTTTCTCATATTAATTCCATTCCCTTCTTTCCTTTCCTCAACCCCTCTTCCTCTTTGGTCCTTTTCTTCCTATTTCACATTATCTATTGTACCTTTTGAACCTTATTTGCTTTCAGTTTCTCACACCAGAGAAACTATTTGGTATTTACACATCTCTTCTATTTATACTTAAGAGTACGGCCTCAATGTGCATCCATGTAGCTATAAATGTCTCTAATTTCTCATTCTTTATGGTTGAGTAGTACTCCATTATTTATATATAAAACCCACCACATTTTCTTTATCTGGTCTCCAGTTGATGGGCAATTGGGCTGTTTCTAAGTTTTAGCTATTACAAACTGTGCTGCTATGAACATGGGTGCACATATATTGCTGTGGTATGATTCTTAAGTGGTAGACATTTCAGAAGATTCTCTGAAGATCCCCAGGTTTTATGAAGCCCTAAAGAATCTCAGAGATCACCTAGTCCAATATTTCAATTTTGGCAGGCAAGTTACCAGCATCCAGAAGTCATATGATTTGTTTAAGGTCACAGAATCTGTGACCAATATTTGCTAACATTACACAGCACTTGACAGTAACTAAATATATTACGATTCAGAATTAAAATTAACAGAGATATTATCTGGGAAGAAGACAATGGCATAATAAAGAAAATGCATGAACATTAGACATGAATTTAAACCCCACCTCTGCCAATTACATTTTTGGTAAATTAATCTGTAAGCTTCAATTTTTGGACCTGCCAAGTGGTAAGAATATTTGGCTCATAGATTTGTTGTGAGGACTGACTAATTTAAATGTAAGACACCCACCACAGCCTCTCACACAGCAGGCACCACAAAAATGTTAGCTCTCTTCAATGGTCAGAATTAATCTGGCTTAAAGTTGGCAGAGGCTGAATTTATTGTGTCCTGTCTTATACCTGGTATGATAATAGGTAGGCTGACAGGAGGAGCGGGGGGCTTTGAATACTTCAAGCTTCTATAAGGATATAGCCTATAAAGCCCATATACCAGATATGGACTTGTTCACAAAAGACAGAGAGGTTCAGGGAGAAACGGTAATCGTCCATTGACTATTTTTTTTTTTTTTTTAGTTCCAAAATATTTATTGAGTTTTTACTTTTTTTTTCCTCATTGAGTTTATTGGTGCATTTTAGGTGTACAGTATATTTACATTCATTATTGGGATCTTGTACCTTTCCATGACAGGTCTTGGTTCTCATATTTTCCCCTTGTCCCTGCCCTCCCTTCACCCCCTCCTCCCCATTGACTATTAATAGATTTAACAGTACTGTCTTCCTCTATAGTACATAGATCTTTTCTATGCAAAAAGAGATAAATTTAATTTCTGTCTTAAATCCAGGGTTAAGGAGTTACCACATGTCATAATTACTCTTGAAATAAAGGCTCTGTAAACATAAAATGCTCCTCTTTTTGTTCCATGTGAATGATGATACAGCAAAACAGGGAATAATATGTTAGAGCACCACAGACCCTACTTCAAATTCTGGCTCCCACATTTAACTAGCTGTGTAACCTTAGACAAAATAATTTCTCTATGTCTTTAGTTCCTTATCTATTATAAAGCAGAAGTGATAAAAGGACATATGGCTTAGAATTAATTAGCTTTAAATGAATTTAAAAAGATTTTAGAACAGGGCTTATGAAAAATTAAATAATAGTATTAATTTTTTTCTTTTTTTTTTTTGGTACTGGGGATTGAACTTAGGTCCTTGTGCTTGTTAGGCAGGCGCGGTGCCACTGAGCTAAATCTTTGAAACTTAACAGTATATAACAGTAATTATATAACTATTTAACAGTAATTTTTGATGACAGTTTTTCTATTTCTTCTGTAACTTGCTTGTCCTTATCATTTTCTTGTTCCTTTTACTGCTCTTGTTGGTTTGTAAGAGCTGCTTTACTTTCCAGACTGTCCCTATTTTGTGTTAGAAATATTCATCTACATCATTTACATGTTAATCTGTTTATGTTTTGATTTTTTTTTTGTACCGGGGATTGAATTTAGGTCCTTGTGCTTGCGAGGCAGGCAGCGGAACAATTGAGCTAAATTCCCGGCTCAATCTGTTTATGTTTTGTTGGATCATACAGAAACTTTAAAAATTTGTTGTGAGCTTTGTAACCATTTACCTTTGATGGCTTTTAAATTTTCATGATGTACTTGGGTATAATTGTCCCACCTAATAATTATAAAAATATATACTGTATATTCTCATAATGTTCACAGTTGTACATATATGCATATGTGACTAGAGGGTTTATAATACATGCATACAGATGTGTACTTCTTGTAGGCTACCTGATAACACAGAAAATGTATGTAATCAAATCTATTTCTAATAAATAACTAATTAGCAAGAGGAAGAATATGTTTCCAAAGCTGAATAAGAATTTTGAGTGCATACACCTTTTCTCTTTTACACTGAAACAAAATTTGAGAATTTTGTTTTTTAAATATCAGTAACAGTAGGGACTGGGATATATGTACATAATGAGTGCTAACATTCTTCCCACCTCTAAGTTGTCTTTCTATTGTAGAAACTTCCCAAATTCTTGTAAGTTACATATTCACTTTAACTTACTATATAAGTACATGCTTATTATATTAAAGTATAATATTTAATTGACTTCTGAGTTGTGGAAAAAAAAATGAGCTTTCTCTATTTTGTGGGTTCTTAAACTTGACCTCCACATGGTCACACATTCTTTGGTAATCTCAAAAGTGTAGGCTCTGTGTTCGAATAAGAACATCCCTTTTAAGTCTCTCAGAATGTACCACCATGCCTATGGGAAACTGATTTTGGGGGTGGGTATTGGATATCAAACTCAGGATTTAGTAAAATTCTGGTATTAAGCTAAATAATGCATTTGATAAAAATCCTTATTTTAATAATAGCTGTTTATACTTTCACAACCTCATTACTACTCAGGGATCAGGAGACAAAAGAAAGAGCAATGATCCTCAGATTTTGGTAAGTGGCCATACAGTGATTTTTCCTCTTATCTCCTCTAGAAAGGAAATGAGTTAATTCTTAAGAACAAAGCAATTGTTTCATATCACACAGGGTGGGATGTTTGAAAATATCATAGCAATTCCAAATCCTGTTAAAATTTCTGCTAGTTCCAGGTAAAAAGCAAGCAAAACTCTAAAAAAGATATTACAAACAATTCAGTTATACACTAATGGGCTTTCTTTCCTTATTCAACAGTATTCATGTAATAGAATACTATTTTGAGGACTCATAAAATAACAAGGTAAATGTCAGAGTTTTCAGACTATAATTAGAAATCAAGTACTCTTCAAAACTACATAGTTTGATTTGCATTTGCTCTTTTTTGCATGTAATATTTGATTATGTAAATCATAGCAATGACAGATCCAGGTTTTGCTCTATTACACTTTAAAAATTAATCTACCTCTTCTCCAGAAAAGGGCATAAAAACTTATTTTTTTTCAAGAGAAAAAAAATGTCTCATTCACACTGTCTTTATTCCGCAATAAAAATTTAAAAATTGAACAGGCCATCTGGTGTATTTAAGATTAACCCGAAAAGGGGAGCATTTTTCTAATGGACAATTTGTTTAGCTAGATACAAATACCAGTTAATATACAGGTAAACCACTCTTATCAGCAAGCCATAGTAACTATCAGAAATTTGAGTTGAGGGAGAAGAAATTGGTGCTGCAGCTGAGAAGTAAATGACTATTAATGTTCATTCTATCAACCTAAACACATATCTTTGCAAAACTGAATAAAATCTAATTTTAAAATATTCTCATTTTGGACACAGTAAAAATTTTATCACACACACCCGTAATAAAATTATGGTACTAAGTGAATATGAATATTTCTTCACATATTTGATTAGCTTTTGTACACATTTAGCAAATGAATTAAGAGTCACATACCTTCATTGTACTGGTATTTGCTTCATCATACAGAGCTAATGAAGATGTACTTTCCATAATATCTGCAAACTGATGCTCTGCATTGCTCTTCTAGAGAGCTCCATGCATACACATCCTGCCTGTCAGGCATTGGGAGTGCCTGCTAGAGCAAGCTGAAGCACTTGCAGGAGGACTCAGAGACAATAGAAAGTCAACAGCTGTATGTTGTGATGTCAGTAACACTCTAGCCAGTCACCACCACCGAGAATATCTGAAGTGCACCAGAAGCTATATTGAGCCCTTCATTAGCAATTCAGAAGCAATGATGCAAAAGCCCAAAAAACTGTGAATGTGCAAAAACTGCCAGGATTTTTTGAGATTTTTTGCTATTAAAATATTGTTACACAATGATGCCTGTTCACATACTGAGGCAAAAAGCTGAGATTATATTTTTTGTAATTCTGTAACAAATAAGCATCAGGAATCTAGGTAATGCTAATGTATCTTTTGAAAATAACTCTAAAACCTTCCAATATCACTAACAAAAAGCCTTAAAAAAAAAAAGCCCAAAACTGTATAGCAGCAGTATGTGGGGCCCCACAACTATAATTCCAGTCCTCAGGAGGTTGAGGCAAGAGGATAGCCATGGGTTTGAAGCCAGCCTGGGCTACACAGTGAGTTCAAGGCAAGCCTGAACTACATAGAAACTGCCTTAAAAAAAAAACCAGTTGATAATAGCATGACAGTGTCACATCTTGAAGCCAGCCAGGGCTACACAGTGAGTTCAAGGCAAGCTTGAACTACATAGAAACTGCCTTAAAAAAAAAAAACAGTTGATAAAAGTATAACAGTGTCACATCTTCAAACTGTCAGAAAGAAAATGCATTAAGAATACAATTACTCTGCCTGCCTTGCAAGTGCAAGGATCCGAGTTCAATCTCCAGTACCAAAATAAACAAACAGAACACAATTCCTGTTTCTTAAGTTGTTTTTGCTAAAATTAAAATAGCTTGCTTACTGTGGCAAGAGTATTACTTCTTCACACCAACAGATGGAGACAGTGACAAAGATACATATGATCAGATGACAATTCTGTCTCCTGTCAGATGAATACTGGCTATATATATATTTGCTCAAGAGTTGGTCTTACAATAAAAGGAGTCTTCCAACTCAAATTTTTAAAAATTCAATGTTCACTAACCATGGGAAGACAAAATAAAATGAAGAAAATAGAAAACTCTGTGTCTAGTGGGTAAAACACTTAATAATCAGACAAGTGTATTATTTGTATTCTCATGCACCTGTTTCCTATTGGCTAAACAAAGATCATATTTTCCATAAGCATGTACAATATTACAGGCATCATAGACAATGCTCACCACCACCATTTAAAGAAAATCACCAGCCAGAACACTACTTTTCTGTACTACTAAAATCTCTTCTAGGGTTTATATATAATCGTATAGCCTAACACACCAGTTATATTCTTTATATCATTTTGGCAAGCACCAAAACAGAAGACAGAATTTACAGTATAGTCTGAAAAAGTACTGTTACTGTTTGTTTTTGGTACCAGGGATTGGACTCAGGTCCTTGTGTTTGCAAGACAAGCAGCAACACCACTCAACTAAATCCTGGGCCCATGAAAAAGTATTGTTACTGATTTTTCAAAAATATGTTCTATTTCAGCCTTACAAGTAGGCTGAAGTTAAAAATACATATAAATTCACAAAATTGGATTTTACTCAAAAAACATAAAGTTGCTAGTAAATCTTGCCTGAGAGATTTCACCCTAACATAACTCAAATTTCCCCACTGTATAATCCTTGACCATGCCCTTCTCTTTTAGTTATGCAGCTAGCTAGCTAGCTAGCTAGCTATCTATCTATCTATCTATCTATCTATCTATTTATCTATCTATATATTTTTTTCCACTATGTAGTTGAAGCTGACCTGGAAATCTATCTATCTATCTATCTATATATTTTTTTCCACTATGTAGTTGAAGCTGACCTGGAAATCACTATGTAGCCCAGGCTGGTCTCCAACTCACAGCAATTCTCCTGCCTCAGCCTCTCAAGTCCTGGGATTACAGGTGTGCACTACCATACCTAGCAAAAAAAATTTCGTGGAACATACCTATAATCCCAGCACTTGGAAACTGAGGCAGGAAGATCACTGCAAATTTGAGGACAACCTGGGCTACATAGTGAATTTAAGGCCAGGTTGAATTATAGAGCAAGATTCTGTCTAAAAAAAAAAAAAAAAAAAAAAAAAAAC